ATTTAAGATATTTTTTTCGGTCTTCAAAGACGATTGGTGTGGAAGTTCTGTAACCAGCCTTGTAGTCTTTTATGACTGATGGCRATATTTTTTTAAAAAATAGCTCTAAATCCCTTCAAAATCACACACAGCAATGTTAAATAACATCAGCAACACATGAGATTAAGGTAAAATGTACTTTATTAAAAAAAACAATTTTGAATCAAATGCTTTGCTTGGGTTGCCTGTGGTCATTCATCTTTTGTTTTGTAAAAGTTCAAAATCCTAACTATCAACAATGATTGTGGTTGTGAAAGCAAAAAACACTATTCAATGAAAAAATGATCATTAAGATTCCATACTTACGGATCCTGCACATAAGCRCGAAGCTTTCTCAGAGAGTTGGTTTGTGATCTCCCAATCCTTTATATGAAAGAATTTACTACCATTATTCTTTGAAAAAAAGAACTGTTGCATAAGTTTATTCAAGACCTGACAGTGGAGACACTCTAACCAGGACCACTTTACACAATTTGTAGCAAATAAAATTTTCAAGATTATAATTAGCATGAGAACAGTATAATTTGATTAGTTAATTCTATTGTTATAAAGAACAATCTCTGTTTAGCTTTCTGCTATCCTGATTTGACGATTTTATCTTCAATGTAAAAGGGGCCCTGGTTATACATCTTGCTGAAGTGCATGCCATTATGTGCATTTAGCTGCAGMAAAATATTACAAAAAGAACATTCTTGGTGTAAAACCTGGTTCTGAAAAATTGTGCAATCATGGTAAATAGAAAACAACATCCTTTTTTAATAATTTATAGAAAACATACATGTATGACTGTGCAAAAGTCAACAGTAAGTCTATTTATAGGAAGTGTTAATCAATCACCTGTTATTTGATTCTTTCATATATGAGTAAAAAGAGTTGTCAGATTTAAGAATATCCAGTGGAACCACCTAAATTTCAAAAAGACTTATTAAACAGTATAAGATAAATTTGGAATATAAACACTAAACATGATTAACTTACTTGCATCACATCTTGATCACTTTGCTTCAAACGATTTATTCTAACATTTATGTTAAACATGTAGTCACGTATATCTGAGGTATCATTTYGTAAAAACTTGCAAACAATATACCTGTTGATAATTTTAAACAGAGAAAGTCAATGTATATAGATACAGTCACGTAGTTAATGTTTTTTGGTAAAAACATTGGCACTTTAACAACTACTTATGGGGATGGATACATTCTCAAACAAGCTATGTGACACATTGCCAGCCACCTTACATAACCCTACCCATACAAGGTAAGTTCAAATCCTAAGGATATAAKTTGTTCTTTCTCCAAAAAAAATAAATAAATAAAAAATATAAATAAACACAAATTATAGGAGATGGGGTTGTACATGATTGTACATCTCAGTGGAATGAGCTAATCAGAAATCATGGATTTTTTAAGTTGTGCCAAAAATTGTTGCATGATTGCACAATAACATAGTGACATGTGGTTCTCAGTCTTATAAGACTAACACTCCCCATCCTCCATCAAAATATTATGGTACTAGACTTTTACCAAACACAAGTTACACTTTAACAACAAAAGGTGAAGCTCTATTTGCAGATATTTCCCATATGCGGGCAGTTCTACTGACAGACAGCAAAACCCTGTTAATTCCTCCATATAAACACTGTATAATTTTTCCATCAAGAAAGCAAATGAAAATCCCGATTGACCTTTTCTACTGTTTTCTGCATAATAGCATTGCAGTTATACTTCCCATTGTTTTTTTTAGAATGCTTTGGAACTTTAAAACAAGACTATTTCACTTTACTTATCAGATTTCAAGAACCCTTYCTATAATAAGTAGACAGGTGTCYTCTTAAGGGTGCTTCAGCTCTACTYTAAATAATTCTCGACAACAATATTCTTAACATTGCAACCACTACTTCACAAAGGATACAAAATCCAGCTTACCTTTCTGAATTAGCTGGTCTACTAGTGACTGGTTTAAATATATAAACTTCATCAAAAGCTCTATACATCAAGTAGATAAGTCCATTGCTGAAGGGTGTAAATAAATCAAACAGCTTGCACAGAAAATGTCCGCCTGGAATCAAAAACCTTAACTTAAAGTTGATGAAGAACTCATCATGGTGATTTCAATATGATTATAAACAGGTTAATATAAAAAAACTACAAAATTTATTAAAGAATCCACTTATTTACAAGATAATATGGCTATACATTTTTAGTTGAATTGACTCTGTTGAATTGGAAAAAGGTGATTTCATCAAAGCCTACTTCAAAGGGGATTCAGAAAGTACTAAATAAGAAATGGAATTTACCTAAAACATTTTRTATATATTTAGGGTAACTTAAAGAGAAGATCCTTTTTATTCAAAGCCATCAACCGTTTTACTTTTTTAATCTTTTTACTGTAAAACACTTAACATGATATTTTTCCACGYTCACTTTCAGTCTTGAAACCCGGTTATGTTTTTTATAATTAGGTGTATGAATTTAAAAAAATATAACTTCTAAAACAGCCTGACTTCTTCATGGTTCCCTGAGTCATCTTTGAACATTTAGAGTTGGTTTCCTTTCAACATTGCATATGAATGTAGGGAAAGTAGGTCTTTGCTCATGGTCACTACCAGAGCTTTTAAAATGCTTGTGCAAGTGACTACAAAGACAGCATTGCCTGATAATATCAATAACAATGTAAATGTACCTGGTCTTAAGATTGATAAAGCACATACAAACTGACATAGGTAGAGCTGTTTGCTAAGAATTTCTTGAAGGTTTTCTTGACCTTCTACTGAAAAACCCTAAAA